AACTTATAGGGGGGTTTTTGAAGTTATCCTTTTTTTTAATAAATACGTTGTTATTCCCTCGCAAATAAAGTCGTGGCAAAAGTTTGGCGCAAGTTGCGAGGGACATTATGAATTTTCAGTCGCAATTTTTTCTCCCAGGTTTTGCGAGGGAACTTTTGTCGTAAATATTTTTCATCCCTAGTTTCTGTCACAAACTTTTGATGTTTGCGAGGGTTTCTATTTCCGTCACAGTTTGCAAGGGATATTTTCCCTTGCAAATTTTTTGTCTGTATTTGTGTATTTTCTAGTAGGGGTTTTCCATGACATTCAGATTTGGTCGTTTCGTATTCCCAGGATTGTTGCAATTAACATCTACATTTATTTCACTGGGTTCCCCCTCTTCAGGAGGCGCAATAAGTGATTTATTTTCATTTCCGCCAATTTATGTCTTTAGTCTCATTCACGCATCCTGCATTAACTACTTTCAAATCTCATTAAATTCTCCTCTAGAGATGGCTTATTTTCTGTAGGAATATAAGACTCAGTCACTTATTTGTGATTATAAATATTTGGTATTTATATTGTTTAAGTTTGTAAGTTAATGATATTTTGAACTTCAAGTTCAATTATACTTGTACGTGGACAAAAATAATTCATTGGGTTTTTTCATTCAGAATAATTTCACGGGATTCATTAAGCTTCTGGCTTTCTCCCCCTAATGCCTGGAAATGCCCTTCAATAAATATTGTAATTAGTAAATCATGTATCAGAGCACATGCAATTACACAATTATTATTGATGGTGAAGATAAAAAAAGAATTGCAAAATAGCATATGATACATGAATACAAAGTCAAAATGAATTGAATAATCACGACATAACTTCCACTTCTTAACATTAAATATTTACATAACTGCAATTGAAATATGTGTCGACATCCCGATTCATGGTTTAGCATGTTTATCAAAAACAATGATACATAAGAGAGAAAACATATAATTTTTTTTCATTGCTCAAAAAAAAATGAGACACTTCCTCTCTTGTTAACCATCATTTTCGTCAAAAACACTAAACAATAAATCAAGACACATATTTGTAATATATGTCTTGCCCAATCCCAAGGATTATGGCAAGGACAATAAATTTAATGTTCTTGCCAAAATCCTTGGGATTGGGCAAGACACATATTATAAATATGTCTTGATTTATTGTTTAGTTGGACTTTCACCATGCATAGCTTGTTTCTTCAGTTTCTCAAAGGATTGTTGTAGAATGGTCGTATCGTTAGTCAAAATGGGCTTGTAATATTCAGAATTTGCAAACATGCACTGGCCCTATCTTACAATCACATCAGTGCACTTGTCAACAACTTCATCATCAGCCTTAACAAAGCAATCCACCATATTAGTGTAGGCTTCTCTGCATCCACCTGTTTTCACATATACGTCAACCCAATGTGCAAAATGACTCACCTCTGAAGGAACATCTTGTGCTTTGGCCTTAGGGGAGGACATGATTTTTGGCAAAGAATGATGGTTTTTTTCGGGTTGAAGAGGAAGAGGAGGATGTGTTGCTAGGTCTCATGCCCGCTGCTTCTTAAATATTCAAACTCTTCTAATGATGCATGCATTATCCCTTGGTGGAGAGAAAAGGAGATAATTTCTGAAGAGAGTAGATCACATGGTCTATGTCCTTTGACACCGGAGGAGGCAGCCTTAGTTCTGCGAGCCTTAAGTTTTGGTAGGGAAACACAGATTTATATTGCAGCTGGTGAGATTTATAGGGGTGAACGTAGACTTGTACAACTCAGAGCTGCGTTTCCACTAATTGTGAGTTCATCCCCATTATAATTTACCCCTTCATTTTTCTGTCTTGAAATGATTGTGACTGCTACTAATGATTATCCAAATTTGTCCATGCATATTTTGTATCACATAGTTACATGGCAGATTGTATAAAAAATTGTTCTACTTGGCAGCATCTGACTTTGAGTTTTCTCGTTTCCAATTTTAGGTGAAGAAGGAAACCTTGTTGGTCCATGATGATCTGCAGCATTTCCAGAATTACTCGTCGCAGATGGGAGCTTTGGATTTTATGGTTTCAGTAGCCAGTAACACCTTTATTCCTACCTATGATGGGAACATGGCAAAGCTCGTGGAAGGTCATCGTAGGTATGCATTCACCCTTAGAGTTTAGAGGTTGCAATATGATTTTGGCATGGAAAGTTTATAACTAATTAAGGTTGATGTGCAGGTATTTTGGTTTTAAGAAAACCATCTTACTGGATAGAAAAAATGTAGTAGAATTGGTTGACATGCATCAGAATGGAAGCCTTCATTGGAAAGAGTTTGGAGATGCAGTGCGAGAGGTTCATGAAAAGAGAAATTGCAAGCCTTCATTGGAAGCCTTCTGCAATAATCCATTTAGAAACTGAAGAAACAAGTTGTGCATGGTGAAGGTCCCACTAAACAATAAATCAAGACACATATTTGTAATAGGTGTCTTGCCCAATCCCATGGATTCTAGCAAGAACTGAAACTAAATTTGTAAACACACATTTGGGTAATATTACAAATTTATTTCCAGTTCTTGCCAGAATCCTTGGGATTGGGCAAGACACCTATTACAAATATGTGTCTCGATTTATTTTTTAGTGGGACCTTCACCATGCACAATTTGTTTCTTCAGTTTCTCAATGGATTATTGCAGAAGGGTCGTATCGTTAGTCAAAATGGGCTTGTAATATTCTGGATTTGCAAACATACACTAGCCTCATGTTACAATCACATCACTGCACTTATGATTGGGCAAGACACCTATTACAAATATGTGTCTTGATTTATTCTTTAATGGGACCTTCACCATGCACAACTTGTTTCTTCAGTTTCTCAATGGATTATTGCAGAAGGGTAGTATCGTTAGTCAAAATGGGCTTGTAATATTCAGGATTTGCAAACATACATTGGCCCCATGTTACAATCACATCACTGCACTTGTGATTGGGCAAGACACATATTACAAATATGTGTCTTGATTTATTGTTTAGTGTGTTTGATGAAAACGATGATTAACAAGTGAGGAAGTGTCTCACTTTTTTTAAGCAATGAAAAAAACAAATTTTTTCTCTCTTATGTATCATCGTTTTCGACAAACACGCTAAACCATGAATCAAGACGTGGGCACATTTCAATTTCAGTTCATTCTGATGTTTTTCCTTTACAATAAATGTAATGATGAATAAATTAAATAAATATTTATCATCTGGGTTCACTACTTTTGTTACTTTTTTTTGTATTTTATTTTAGTTTTAGATGAGATCCAATACATCATATTGTTTGTGTTGTACGATACATGATACAATTCATACGATACGATGTGATTCAAAGCGCAGCAATACGTACCAGGGGGTGTCTCTGAAAAGGGGTTTATATCATACGATACGGTACAAAAATTAAATCAAAATTGATAATTTTTAATATAAAAATAAAAATTGACTTTATGATTCAAATTTAAAAAAATATAAAACATTATTATCAATAAAGAAAAGAAAAGAAAGATTTTATTTTTAATTTTTAAACTCAAAAATCACTCTTAAAAATTTGTATTAATAAAGGAAATAATTAAATAAATATTTTAAAATTATTTTTATTATGTTTCTATATCTTACGATTCACAATACACGATACAAAAAATATCCAAACATTACGATTCAACAACCTTGCACTACACTATTAGAATAAAAGAAAAGACAAATAAGCATGTTATAAAATATTAATTTATAAATAACTTAGAATGTTGAATATAAACTTTGTAACTATTGCTATATATTAATGATGCAATTATTTTCATTTATGATTTTATAACCACCACGCTGATAAAACATTAACTCCTCAATATTATAATCTTATGTATGGACCTGAAAATGATTGGATAATAAGAACAAGAATTTCACCTTATTTCCTTTTCTTCTCTTTTCTCACATTTTATCTTCTAATACGATTTTCTTTCATATTTCTCTTTACTTTTTAACAACAACAACTTATATGGTTTTGTTATGGGATAAGAGATTAATTTATATCGGTACAAGATAAAAGAATAACCATCAAAATAATAAATAATTACATAGTAATGATTGGACTGATACAAGTTATATTTTATATAATATTTTTAGATAATGCAAGAATATGTCCTATGCAAAGATCCCTCCTCTTATTAAAAATAAAAAGTTTTTAAAGTTGTCCAGTGCAATAATATTTTATTATTACTTTAAATCCAAATTTTAATATATATTGTAAAATCTTGTGTGTCTCATTCATTATTTTGTAGCTATTTTTATATAATATTATAAACATTAGACAATCCATAATACAACTCATGGCTCAAAATCACCGCTCTGATTTTATTAGAAGAGAAACTTCTAATGATCTCGATGAATTTCAGTCATGTTTTATACATGTATAATTATTGGCCATGAGCCACAACTTTAAGATAATTATTTCTAAATAAACAACTTTACTGATATAAAAAAAATAAAGGTATATCAAGCTAATAATTTCTTAAAACTAATTTTTTTAAAAAATAAATATGCACATAAGTCATGCTTAAACCAAAAGGAAATATTATATTAAATTATATTATATTATTTTAATATTAGATAAGACCTTATGTACTTTGAATCTTAAGGGGAATGAGAAATAAGAAAGAATGCTCGAACTTACAAGTTAAAAACTACTTGGTACTGCGTTGGGTACAAGAAAAAAAATTTAGGGAGATTTGGTATGGGAAATATTTTTTTTGTCCGAGAAAAAAAAGATTTCTGATAATATGGTGAGAAATAATTTAGCCCTGAAAAGTAACAAAAAGTTGTTTGATAGGTCAACATTTTACCAAAAAAATGTGCTTAATTTCACTCATGATGCTTTTGGTTGATCGTAAAATATTGAAGAGAAAATTAACATAAATTACCAATTTACCCATGAATTTTGGATATTGTAGCCGACTGGAAGTATAGCATCGCGTTTGCGCTCTAAACCCAGCATCTGCAAACGTCAACGGTAGTCATTTTTCATCCAAAAGTCAGGAGCAACGCTGCAAGCTGCCATTGTCCCTGCATTTTCATACATGAATTCATTACAATCAGAATCGGAGTACACAGGGAAAAATAAATACCATGGGCTGGGGGCATAGTTTTTCTCCACTGCTTAGTGCAAATGAGGATTAATGGGAGAATTTTTTTGCTGGCAATAAATCACGATAGCTTATACCAAACACTAACAAAAAACATTTCCCACCCCACTTCTTCATCATTCTAAACAAAATCTCCATAACAGATCCCGGGATATTGATAATCTTATTTACCTATATTTAGTATAAAGATTTTGAATATTTTCCTCAAAAAATCAGATTCCGAATAAAAATTGTTATAAAGAAAAATGTTATTCAAGAATACCATATTCTTGGAAAAAAGTAATAAAATTAACTCTCTAATGACGACGACGAATCTCCACGCAAACCCTCTCCTCCACTCAACACCACTTCGTAATTGCCGCAGAGCTCCTAATCACCGTACTACAATGTGACGCCGTCGTCGGCCTCCGATGAAAATGACGAAGTTGCTATCGTCGGGAAGTTGAGTGAGGTAGTGGATACGAGCACAAGCATGGACAATAGAGACGACGAGGCATAAGTTGTGGAAGAGGAAGATACGGTTGTTGTGGAAGCGACAGAGAAGACGAAACTGTCTAAAGTTGTAGGGCTTGCTGCTAAGAACTTGGTTACTGATTTGGCTAGTGAGAGCCACAAAAATCAGCGTTGATAAACTCGACCCGATCGGGGTTCTGGGTTACTGGAGCACTGAGTGAGTCATTGGTCGGACAGTTGACTCGGATATATATAGATATATAAAAAATATATATAAATATGAACATATAAATTCAATTATATTTTTCATATCTAAAATGAATTCAACAAGGTTCACTAATTAAGTTCAAAAACATGAAGCATAAACAAATAAAAATACACGCTATTACTATGTCAATTTAAATTGCAACTCAGAATCCCCATAAACATACCTCTCAATGACATTGAACTCATATTTTTCAAATTCAACTACTTTAAAATAACATATATCACATTCTGTTAATTTATTATTCCGCAAATTGCTTCAGTGTTGAAAACTGAAATTTGAGGTCGTTGTAGGATTGTAGAAAAGTATAATAGCAAATAAAATTATAAAAAAAATTTAAAATGAGTTCTATATTTTTTTCCTGGTAAAATGAAACAATTTTGGTTTTTTGATTTTTTTTGCATGACCCGACCGAGTCAACGGGTCACCGGGTTTGTCCGGATTTCATCATGGCAATGCATGATCGGTTCAATGCTTGACCCAAACCGGTCCGATGATCGGGTCACTGGGTTCCGGGTCGACCCGACCCGTGAGTTGGGCCGGGTTTTGCAACAGTGCACAAAATGGAAGTTGTGGAAGAAACGAGCGACGAGATTTCTGTTGAGGAAAGCTTGGAAATGTGGAGTGAAACGATGTGGTGGCGTGTTCGTTCCTCGGAGGTGAACACTTTTCTGAATTTTGTTTTTGGTTGACCCTCTAATTTTGTTTTCATCTGTCAGAAGGAGAAAATTTGTTAATTGCAAAAGGAGAAATTTTGTTTTCGGCTGAATGTTGAAGGATAATTTTGTAAAATTACCTCACATTTACAACAATATTTGATAATCAACCAAATATAGAATTAGTAAATATGAGTCAATATTTCTAGTAATATTTTGGCCTACCAAATAGCTCCTTGATAACATTTTCAAAAAATTTATCTTTCCACTCTGGAAATCATAGTTCTCGGCACAAATTTTTTTTTCTGCCCTTTCAAATTCTCAGGTAAAAGTAGATTCATTTATTTTTTTTACTTATGCGGTGCAATTATATTGTATTGATGTAATTAAAATTAAAAGTTTACAATATTTTATATTATAAAATCTCGTGTACCTCACATATTATTTTTCTGTGACTTTTTAAAATAAAATTATAGACATTAGAAATGATTTAGATATGGATTTATTTTTTAATATTAATTTTATAAAATAATTAGCTTGACACTTGACTTAGTGCAGATTTAGTTTTTGTGTTATATTAGCAAATTCATAAATATAAACAACTTGATTTAAAATCATGACCGAATACATACAATTATTCTCATGGAGACTCAAAGATCAGTTTCATGAAATCCTTATATTTCCTAAGGAGCTTCTGCCAAACGCTCTTTAATAAAATTTTAACATTAATTAATCATAATCAAGAAATTATTAATTTTGACGGACTTACAAATTAACTAATAAACCACAGGGAGCACCTGCTAGAATAATAGTATTATGAGCCGCAGCAATGAATCTATTTGAAATGACTCTTTTGTACTTGAGATGTCAATA